AATCCAACCTTTTTACTTCTCTATAAATAGTTAAACTCCGATACTCCATTCATTTCATCAACATTCAGTTTTTCTCCTTTAAAGACATGGCAAGACTAGGTGTTTTTGTGCTAGTTTTCTCTTTTCTACTTTACATGGCTGGCATAGCTTCATCTGCTTCAAGTCCAACGGACTACATCGTTGCATCGTGCAAAACCACAAGCTACCCTGCGTTATGCGTCCAATGCCTGTCGGGTTATGCCAAGGCGATTCGGAAAAACGACCGACACCTTGCTCAAACTGCCTTATCAGTGAGCCTATCCAGGGCTCAGTCAGCTGCAGCTTATGTTGCCAAGATGACTCATGTTAGGGGTATCAAGCCTAGGGAGCGTCAAGCAGTTAAAGACTGTATGGAAAACATGGGTTATAGTGTGGACCGACTTAGCCAGTCTGTGAAGGAACTCGGCCGTATGGGACGTGGTGTAGGTCAGGACTTCATGTTTCACATGAGCAACGTGCAGACATGGGTCAGCGCTGCACTAACAGATGAGAATTCTTGCCTTGATGGCTTTGCAGGCAGAGTCATGGACGGAAGCATCAAGGTTGCACTAAGGCGCAGGGTGGTCCATGTTGTTCAAGTTACTAGCAATGCGCTTGCATTAGTGAATCGTTTTGCTGCAAGACACCGACCGGCTAAACTTACTGAGCACTCTTAGATTCAACCTAAAATATCCGGTGTATGTATAAAAGTGTTGGTTTCGAAAGCAAAGTTTGTACCAGCCTGGATTTTGTGTAAAAGGGTCTCGACCTGCTTGAAATGTCTATAACTGTATCATTTAACGAGTCCAAGTCTTTGCTAATGAATACTTTCCTTGTTTGATAGTTAAGTTCTATGGAATTCTCTGTAAATCACCTCTTTCCTTTCTATTGGAAGGTGTTGTACCTCCGGAAGTTACCTCAGTAAACTACTAGTTTTTGGGATAGATTCCTTATCGGAATTTTCAATAAATCTTTACCTTTGAGCACGAGTATCATAATCTCTAGCAAAGTTTCAATGCATAGGCAGATCTCCAATTGATACTCTAATCTATAGAGCGAAATATAAGATCTGACAACCAATCTATTTAGCCAATCTATGAAATAATCATAATTATCTTATGTGTAATATATCGGCTAAATATATAATAATATCTTAGCCACGACTGAGATAAGGATCCTAGCCATTTATTCTCTTTCTTCACTCATATTTTCCATTATATGCTTTCATCTTCCACATAAAAATATCGATGAATAACTATTAGCTTATCGGTTGTGACTCCATCTAAATAATAAGAAATGAATTCAGAGTAGCAGACGGCTTGAATGTTGCAACTCTAAAGTTTGGTCAATCGACACTTGATAGCTTATAGCGGAGACAAATACAGTGAATGAAATGATACACTTTTAGCTTTAAAAATCTGCCATTATTAAATTTGTACCTGCTCCTCAACTTTGGATTATAATAATATGAAGCAAAAGAAGGTACCATGAACGCTTGTCTCGCCTTTTTAATACTGTAGCAGACAAGCTTATCTCTTTGTGCAAAGACGTGTCACAAAAGATCAGTCTTGGAATCATCCAAAGGAAATCTTTAAGGCTGAGATTGGAAATTAAGAATCCATGAAATGTGTAAAGAGATTACAAGTTCCCACAAAGTGATGTAAATTGCAAGGAAATAAATGAATGGAATTGACAGGGAACTGATGATCAGACCACAAGGATTTATCAAGTGCCATATGGCTCAACCCCTTTTAAACGTTCTTTGTACGTAACTTATGGCCTAAATTTCTCTGACACACTACTGATTTAATACTGAAAATCTCAATTTATTTTTATATTCATTGTTATTACTGTGGTCTGTCTTTATCCTTACTCATCACCCATCCTTTTTCATTTTTGAAAAAGAAGAAGAAGATTAGTTTGGCTTTGGATTCGCCTCCTAATTTACCTGACTCATTAAACCATCCTAAATTATCATTTCTAAATACAGACAGCATGACCCAGCAAACTATGACGAACCTTGAAAAGAATATTAAACCTTTATCTTGTTTTATATTACAATTGAGATCCATTTTAATGTATACCTTTCACAAATTGATTGTCAATTTTGAATTCTTGGAACTAAACGAGTTTTAAATGATTGAGCCACATGATGAACTTCAAAGCTTCACGACCATGGCCAGAGCAGGTGCAAAGCATTAACTGTTTCCCACACTTAACTGTTATTTGAATATGATATAGGATTTGTCATTTTGAGAGCTCTTCAAAATCAGTTGGGACAAATTGTCCAACCCTGTTAAAGTATATTTTACATGATCATTATTAGGACAAACGCAGAGTTCTATATCATGATAGATTAATATGATTATTTTTTTTTCTAAAAAAGTTACCAATTAACATAAAATGATTTACACGTCATCCAAATATTAAAAAAATGTAATTTATTTTATAAAATTTTTCTTCTAAAATCTATTTTAATAAAACAAACATAAATTAGACACCACAACATCCACAGAATATATATTGGGCCCTTTGGGTTAAGTTGTGATGCAGAGCTAGACCCAATTAATAACCGAAAGCCTTGCGCAGAACCTAAGCCCAACTATTGGGTTTTATACTTCCAAAGGAGCTGGAGCAAGTGAGGCCCGATTGTGGATAATCCGCCATCTTCCTCTTTTCTGCACACGTCATCTCACTTGTTTATTCCACAAACATAGCATAGCTCAGCAATGTAAAGAAAAGCAAATTGGAACATTAGGTTGGAGTTATACTCGAGGTAATATGGGATCCCAATAATTGAAGGCATGTATGCATTATATATTTAAAACTCACCTGGATGAGAGTCATATTGGTTGATTTCCCCTACAATAATCGAATTAAAGGCCCGCCCATTATCTTCCATTGATGTCTTAATTGTCATTATTAAATGTATTAATTAGTGTATTGCTTGCCTTAGGTTTGATTTCTTCATGATTTAAGCCTAATAGTTTTGTTGGTAAATATCTTACATAGCAGAATATGCAGGCCATTGACGACGTTATTGTTGTTGTTTAAGGATGTTGTGAAAGCACGTTCATTCTGAGAAATAAAACCCACATTTTTTATATTATTTCAAAAGTCTGCTGTTTTCATCATCTATCATTGAGTTATGATAAAATGTATTTTCAATAAATTGTAATGCCAATGAGCACATGTCCAGCTTGTTTTCCCCATAATCATGGATGATAAACCTTAGCTAATTAGACTATTTAGGTCGTAGGTAACAACAATATTCTATTGGTATTCTTTATTCAGAAGCACATGATCATTTCTATAAATGAAGACCCTCATAAAAGAGAAGTTTCAAGCTTCTCTATTGAGGTTATACCGAAGAGAAAATGGCAGCAGCTGGTTTTCTTTCTTTTCAATAACTGCTCGTCATCCTCATTCAGCTAGCAACCAACCTGAATTCACTACAGCAAAATGGGGTTTTAGCGGCATATGTAGCAGCGTTTTATGAGAAAACGCCGGAAAATAATGTACTTTAGTGGCATTTTTATACAAACGCCGCTAAAGGTCGTACTTTAGTGGCGTTTTAAGCACAAACGCCGCTAATTACATGTTCTTTAGTGGCGTTTTACGCACAAACGCCGCTAATTACACGCACTATAGTGGCGTTTTTATATAAATGCTGATAAATACTGTACTTTAGTGGCGATTTTATACAAACGCCGCTAAAGGTCGTACTTTAGTGGCGTTTTAAGCAAAAACGCCGCTAATTACATGTTCTTTAGTGGCGTTTTATACACAAACGCCGCTAATTACACGAACTCTAGTTGCATTTTTATATAAATGCCGAGAAATACTATACTTTAGTGGATAAATACTCGATGTTTAGAACCGGATTGGGGAAATCTATGGCGTTGAAAGAATCTTCAATTGCAAAAGCATTATCTATCCTCGATGAAGAAGACGGTGCCTCTACTGTTACTCCAAGTAAACGCTTCTCTTTTTTACTTTGATTTTTTTGTTTACTGTTTGATTCAATTCCCAAGCCACATCCAATCAAGTTACATATTGTAGGTGGAAGGTCGTTATCTGTTTCAAGTGAAGCATTTAAGCGTGCAAGGAGTCTTCTTGGTGAACCGGAGCTAGGGGATTTATTTGGTGAAATGGATGAAGATGTTCTCCATATACAGTTTACAGGGAGGAAAAACCTAACGATGCTTCATCAAACAATGAAAACTGTTTTTTTTAATTTAAAGTGAAAGAACCTTGATTAAATTCTAGAGAACAATGTCAAACTACATTACATTTAATTTTAGTGTTTATAAATTTTAATTTATTTTGTTGTTAAGTATTTTTCGGCATAATTTGTATCTTAATTAAAATTGACGGTTGTTGTTAATTGGATTACATGATATTAAATTTAGGTGATGTATAGCAAAAATGGAATATGCAAAATCAATTAATATTACCTAAAGAACGGTCATTAGCGGCGTTTGTATCAAAAAACGCCGCTATAGATCTAACCTTTTGTGGCGTTTGTTCCAAAAACGCCGCTATAAATCTCGACATATTGCGGCGTTTGTTCCAAAAACGTCGCTATAGATCTCGACCTATTGCGGCGTTTGTCCCAAAAACGCCGCTATAGATCTCGACCTATTGAGGCGTTTGTCCCAAAAACGGCGCTATAGATCTCGACCTATTGAGGCGTTTGTCCCAAAAACGCCGCTATAGATCTCGACCTATTGCGGCGTTTGTCCCAAAAACGCCGCTATAGATCTCGACCTATTGCGGCGTTTGTCCTAAAAACGCCGCTATAGATCTCGACCTATTGTGGCGTTTTTTGTTCACAAACGCCGTTAACTTTAGCGGCACTGGTTTCGCCGACGCTTCTTGCGGCGTTTTTACTATCGCCGCGAGTGTTTTTAGCGGCGCTTAAAAACGCCGCTATAGGACTAAAAAAACGCCGCAATAGGTCAATATTGCTGTAGTGATTCATGTTTAGCCGCGACACCGGTTCACCACAGTGGAAGGAGGAGTATTCAATTTATAAGAACCTCTTGCCGTACAAAGTACAAACCCTTCATCCCAACTTGTGTTTCACCAGCTTCGCTCAATACGCGACCAGAGTCCGAGGTAGCCCCAGATCGTTGGCCACCACCGCCCTCTCCTTGGCATTCAACACGACTCGTTTCACAACAAAATCGATGATATCTATCTCCAAACGCCACGGCTTAAAGCGTAGAGAGGCGGCGGTGTTGCGGGATTGTGTGGAACAACTAGGAGACTCCGTTGATGGGCTGAAAGACTCGATCGCGAAACTACGTTTACCTACTGCGGGCAACAGCGATGTTCGACGTCAAATGAATGATATACTGACATGGGTGGCTTGTCTGGGAAATCCATTAACCGTAATTTTAAGACCGGAGTGAGAAGAAGAGTGGTGAAGGTTGCACATTTGACGACTTTCGCTTTGGCTTTCGTCAACCGCTATGCTGCAGCTGCCACTCATAAATGATATGGCCATTTCTCTTGTGCATCAGTGAGGTTTTGCCTTTGTATTGATTTGCTTTTTTGCTAGCCAGCTATTTTTTTCTTTGGGAATAAATATTGACCGAAAGTCTTTACTTCCTAAAGTTGTTGTTTGATCTAACTTTGCAATATCTGAGTGTTGTTTTATTTTCCCATGATTACCTTAATATTTGTTCGTTTAATTTTTGTATTATTTTCCAAGATCGAATAAGATTTATTATTTAATCACATCACATAGAAGCGTTAAATACATCAAAACTGTTCACTTCTTTCATTTTAATACAAAAGTGAACAACTTTAGGAAGTTATTTATGATTTTCCCAAACTACTCGTGTAGCAGTCCGATTTTAACTTGAAATTATTGGCTTCATTCATTCGCTAGCTACCCATTCTCAAAAGTTCTTTTTTTGGAACCACATGACTCGTGAGCTTTCTCTTCCAATAAATTCAGTCCCTCTCTTCCCCAACACTAATCAATCTCTCAAGGCAAGCAAAATGGTAATTAGTTCACACTTTTCACCGGCAGCTATTCTCATCCTCATCCTCTTTACAACTCACCCAAACTGTTTATCGGCCAGAAAAATCCTCAGCTCCGACACAGACACAGAGTTCATCAAAACTTCGTGTGACGCCACCACCTACCCCGACCTGTGTTTCGCCACATTTTCAAGCTACGCAACCCAAATCCAGGCCAACCCCAAAATATTAGCCGCCAAGTCCCTCTCTGTGGCACTCAACACCACGCTTTCGGCTTCACAAAGCCTGACGGACCTCTGCAAAACGCAGGGACTAAAGCCTAAAGAGGAAGCGGCTCTTCACGACTGTGTGGAAGAAATGAGTGATTCAGTGGATGAATTCAGAAGGTCCATTTCTGAAATGGAAGAGAGTGAAGGCAAAAGCTTTGCAATCAGAATGAGTGATGTGGAAACATGGGTCAGTGCAGCTTTGACCGATGAAGATACATGCATGGATGGCTTCTCCGAGAATGAAATGGATGGTGATGTCAAAGCCACTGTGAAGACGACAATCGAGAAAGTTACACAGTTGACAAGCGTTTCATTGGCTTTTGTCAACCAGTACGCTGGCAGCAAATAATAAACTGTTATTTCAAAAACATATTCATTACCTGTGCAATTGCGTTTCAACCTTTCTTTTTTACATTTGAGTATCATTTCCTACAGATCATTTCAGTAATGTGATAGCAAAACAAATGCTAACAAATAAGCGCTTGCAGGTGGAGAAGGAAGCTCAACCTTGTTTCCACATGGTCCTACTTATCATAAAATGAAGGCTCACCCTAACTCAAACTACACACCAAGTGAACCCAGAGATGTTATCGAGAATTCGTATAACACGAAAATCTGATCACGAATCTTATTGAACAGTGATCCATTACTAGAAAAGATTGACACGAGAGAGAGACCAGAAAGGGAAATGAATTTATCGAAAATTTTAAAGATTTCGATGTTTTCTTTTATTTTTTTTCCCCTCAATACAAAATTCGATTGAAGCCAACAAGCCCAATACAAGAATTTATAATCTTATTTTGTAATTTATAATATACTAACAAAAAATGATTATATACTTAATAAATTATTTATGGATTTTAAAATTTTATATTATCAGATTTATTTTTTATTATATTTTTTGAAAAATTATTTTTTTATTATAAAAGGAAAAGGAAGCAGAAACTTAATTAAACAGTGCTCACAGCCATATCATCATGCAATAGCGACTCAACTGCTGGTGGAGGGAAATTAAAACCAAAAAAGAAAGCTATTACAATTATTTAAAATTATATATATAAATATATTCTTGAAGAACTATCTGAAACAGATGCAAATACTACAATTTTTAATAATATAAAGTTAAGAGAGTCCATAAATTTTCAAATTTCCACATGTTGAATAATAATTAAAATAATAAAATATCAAAAATGAGTTTCAATATTTTTTTATATTTTTTATAATTTAAATTCATATATTAAATAGACATTTTGAATTATTTAAATATATATTTATTATTTTACGATAAACATATTTAAAACAATTATTTGTCATCTTAAAAAACTAATTAACAATAATAAATACTTTAATATTTTTTATTAATCTAAAATGCCAGTAGTATATGTTATAAAGACATTCAATCTCTACTACTGAGTAACTTAATTGGTGCATAATCACTTTTATCTTAAATCAATGTCTAAAAAATATTTCACTTCTCATTTTTTTCGAAATAATACCGAACTAACTCTGTGTAGCAAGTAGTAAAAGGCATAACCTGAGTAGCTTAAAATCACCACAAGATATGCGCGTTGAAATGATTATATATACTGACATCTAATCCAGAAATTACACATACAGGTTGTGATGTGATAATGCTGATTATCTCTAGAAATTCCTGCCTCTACTTTTCTGCATAATATGACTAAACCAACCCCAGATTCAGAGATTTAAATATGGCTAAAATATGACCTTTTTAATAAAAGAAAGATTTATTAAGCAAAATTAAAATGCATAAATACAAACGAAAGCAAAGTTGAAAACCCAAGTCATTGTACTTACCCAATAAGAAGCCTTCAAAGTCGTTAGGTACCCAAAACGCCAATATAGTCTATCTTAGGCCTTTTGATATCTTGCATAACAATCACATAAAGACTATTAGGAGATCTCTCGCAGGAAAGTCCATATTTAATGAGACTACCTAAAAGGCAATCAAGTACATGGCTGCCGACGCAGGACTCAAAATTTCCAATTGCGCATATAATAACCCAAAGAAACCAATAAAAGAAGCATCATTCTCCACCTGACTGGGTTCCCATGTAATTTCTTGCTATTGTGGAATGAATTGGTATAATTAGCTACCACTGCAGCTGCAATGAAAGGTTTGACAAAGTTGATGAATTCAGAGGTTCTGATTCCAAGGCTTCAGATCAACCTCGCCTCCTCCCAACCGCAGAAGAAATCGGGATTAAGCTCTACAACGGCTTCATCTAAAATTACCTGAAATCAGTTTAATTCTCCAGTTACTAGAAGCGTGATGAAAACATGAAATCTTTTTTTCTGCCTTTCATGGTGCATACATGGGCACGTGCAATGTCATGCATTTTACTCTAATCAAAATGCATCATACCTCCAATGAGGAACATTAAAATTGATTTCCTCTTTCTTGAAGAAATTTGTGATGTAGTTTCTCAGTTCTCATCACTGATCACCCCTTAAATGTAGACTGTCCAAAAGAAACATCACCCTAGCAACTAATTTTTGAATCTTAGGGTTCCATCCCTCAGCTTACACAAGCTATCATCGTATGCTAAAGGAATTTGCAGACATATACACAACAAAACAATAAACTCAAGAAGCGGCAGACTGGCAGCAAATGATTCGAGCTGACATGAGGAACAGTGGAACAACCCGAAAGCTGGTAGATGGATTGAAAAAGTGGAGTCTATCTGTTTCTATACTCAAATACATGAAACAGACTTGAAAACAACAAGTTTTACTGTTTGAATGTGCATACAAGCCAACCAAATGGTTCTAAACATGATAAGGATGGATATCTGTCCAGGCAACAGACACCTCGGGTCCTCATTCCATCATCCTACGGGACAGGCATTGAAGGAGGTACTGTCAAAGCAATGAGATGTCTAAAGAAAAATGAAATGACATTTTTTTTTAAAACTTCCTTGTTCCCTTTCTATTTCCATTATACTATATTACAAGCTGAAGATAAGTGCCACATTGAATAATTCCCAATGCATTTTACAGAAATGGAAGACAAAGAAGAAATAGCAAGCAACACAAGATCAATATACTAACAAAATAAACAAACTTTAGTGCATTTGAAGGAAGGGGAAGTAGAAAGAAATGGAAAAGCAGTTAGATGTCATGTAAAGCAAGAATATAAAGGTTTGCAAAGAGAGCACTTACTGGAATGTCAGTTTGCATACCAATGCAAGTAACTGCATTGTGTTCATAGCCAGTCAACTTTATTGATGTCTCCTCGGGAGCAAGTCTCACTGAATTATTTAAAACAAGTAATAACTAACTACATATTTTGGAGATCTCAACCTTAAACAAATCTTTCAACCATATAGAGAATGATAGGAGCCAACATTGCACCAAAATTTGAATGGTTTCTTCAGCCCAATATTAAAAAAATGGTATCCTTAAGAAGAAAGCATCAATCAAATAACTTGACCATGCATCAGAACAATAAAAAACCTTACAAGTTGGGTTCTGAATACATCTCATATCTTCATAGATGATTTAATAAAATTCAAACAAATCGACATTGCAGTTGAATCAGAAATAATGAACACCAGATAGTTTTATTACCATTGACAGTCATAAGCACCAATGCACCTATTAGTCAACAACTTTTGCATACAAACCAAAAATGCAACAGTGAATTGGTAACAGCTTGCAGTTTACTACTCTATTTCTCTCTCAATTAATGATTCAACAGATGCTGAAACTATTCCTCGCCTCCTCAGCAAATGGCAGTAAGTGAATTAATATTAATTTAGACCAAAAATGTAACGGTAAGTTGATGATAACTTGCAAATTATCACTCCATAACTTTCCCTTAATTAATCATTCAGTTCATGCTGAAACTAGTTAAATGACAATAAATGAACTAATTTCTGCCCCTGTTTAATTAACTAAACTTTTTTTTTTCTGTGACGGATGCAAACAACTTAAGATCTTTAACTAGTTACGGTTGTCTCGAGACTGACATGAAATGCAGGCTACCAAATATAAGCAAAAAAAAGTTTGTCTGAATGGAAGAAAGAATGTTATTACTAATCAAAATTCATTAGCTTCTCCAAACAGAAATAATGAAAAGGAAAGAGAATATGACGACGATGACATATGTAGACACATAATTTCGTCCGCCT